CTCCTGTCTTTACACGCCTTACACCCCAGTTAGCTCCTGTGTCTCCTTCTGCTGTAAAATTCACAGAAAATCTTATTGTCACACGCAAATCACGTCCCCATTCGAGAAGCGACTGAGCGGTCACGCCGAGCGAAGCGCAGAGCCGTGCCTTGAGCAAACTCACCAAAAACTCGTCTGCAAACTCTTCCCGGTTCAGCTTCTTGCACCGGGCCCTTTCCAGGTTCTGCAGCAGAATCTCCCTTTGGTCCATGCTGCCGGAGACCGCGCGCCTGCCCTGCCGCCCCTGGGAACGGACATGTCAGTGTGTGCCGCAGCGGAAAGCACCAGCCCGGCGCTCGCAGCAGGCTGTGGTTTACTGACTTCATCGCGAGTCTTGAAGGAAATTTGTACGTAACCAATATCGTGGTCAAATAACAAAACACAACACACAACCCGGGGCCCCAGCGCCGCCTTTTAAAACCAGACGTGCTCCTTGTGTGCCCGCAGCAGCGGTGGGCAGCGCCGGGCTGGGTAGGAGCCCCACGGCAGAAGCAGAGCTGCCCCGGTGCCACGGCTGCGTGCCATGCCCGGCTGTTCCTGCGTGCCGTGCCGCGAAGGTGGGCAGGTGCTGGAGACCCGAGCCAAGCACCCTGCCATCCGATGCCCACAAGCACGGTGTCCAGCCATCCCCAGCATCACAGGACGGTGGTGCGGGGCGAGCGTGGGGGGCAGCAGCCATGCCCCGTGGTCCCGGGGGCTGCGCCCCACTGCTGGGCAGCTGGGGGAGGCTTCAGACCTGGAATATGCTGTGAGTAGAAGGGTTCCTAAAACAGCGTGCAAAATCCAGTTCCCCTTCACGCTCATAACTTAGCCTGCTTTCCACATCACCTGCAAAATATTTTGAAAGATTTCACGCATTACCCCCCTGAACTGCACAACCGCTTCTGAACAGAGAAAACCCACCGAAATGCTTCAGGTCAACAATTCCAGCCATCGCTGCCCACGTCTGGTAGCTTGTGCCCAAAGAGGGTCAAATCTGACTCCAGTAGACTCTAAAATTCCGATTAATTTTACCAGCCTGATTCACCTCACTCACTCTCAGTAACACTCACAGGTACTCTAAAAAAGCCGCGGGACAAAGTGGAGGTCGTTCCGAAGTGGGAAGGAGATGCAGAGAGCAAAGTTCTCAAAGGCCATCCATCTTCTGTACTCGCAGAAGTGGAGAAAACTGAACTAAACAAAACTGAACTAAAACCAACAACCCTCAAAAAAAACCCAAAAAAGGTATGGGAATCACAACCTTGATCTTTCCACTATCTCACATTTTGCACAGAGACCTCAGACTGGCTGTACCAAGCCTGTTTCTCTTTCCAATTTTAACTACAGTCATTAAATGTATTCCTCTTCCGTGCTTTCCTGCAGATCGGGTACGGAACAGCTACACGATTTCTGTACTCAGCTGCGAAAAGGCAAAGGGCTGCTGATCACTCTGAAAGCGCCATCACTCTTACTTTATTTTAAACTAAAATTTTAATTTTGCAAAAATGAGCCTTTGAATCACCTGACAGAAACAGAGATCTTTAGAATAACTGACAGAAATGTGTTTTAAAACAAATATTCACCTGATGAGCCTGTGGCACTAAGCACTAATCTAGAAACCCTGAATAAGTGTGAAAGCCGCTTCTGTGGCTAAATCTAAGAGAAACACAAGAAGAAAAACTAATTAATAACACGAAACATTTATTATTTTTCGCTCATGGTGCAGAATCTCTTTTAGACGTTGCTCATGTGTAAAGTTCTGCTTGCAGTCTCCTGAAGAAATACCACAGTGTTATCCCAGTTAAACCAGTGAAAAGTCCAACTTCGCCTTCTGGAAAGCGGCAAAGCCCTTTCTCTCAATTGTCCAAGTTCTCCTGGAAACAAACAAAACACGTGTACGTGTTTTAGAGAAGGAATTCAAGGCAGGTTTGAAGGAACTGGCAGGAAGAGAGGATGCGGGATGGAGGGATGAGCGACCGCCTCCCACTGTGACCATCCCCGGACCAGTTCCATCCCTTCCCCGGGGAAATGCACTGGGTGGGTCTGGGGGCACGTGAGCCGTCCTGCGCCTTGTTGGCTCTCACCCAAAGGAGCGAGCGGAGCTCCCGCGGTACCGAGACATGGAATGAAACCCTGGGGCAGAGAAGCGGATGAGAAGTTTGGTGCTGACTCTGACAACTCCACCGAGGTGTTCAGCAGAGCCACGCTCCCTCGGCTGCACACCGGGAGCTGGTGCATGTCTCGGGGACACGCCGGGTGTAGCGAGGCGCCGAGCGAGGCAGGTGGGACAGGTGAGACACAAAGGAAGAGCCGTAATGTCCGGGCAAACATCACCACCACCTTCCCGTCCTTACCCATCCGCCGCAGCCCTCAATGTAGCTTCTCACTTGAGAATTCCCATTAATCATGCTTATGAGTTGGCTGGGATGCACCATAGCAGAGACTTTCTTAGCAACATACATCAGCAATTTCACAGAAACACAGAGGAAAGCTCTCTCATAGACCAGCTCGGGGTTCTGGTTGCTCCAGCTCCTGCTGAGAGACTCCACGGCAGCCGGGAACTTCTCCACCTGCATGGAGAGGGCAGTTTGAGCTGCTTTTTAAATGATGGCGTGATAAATAAGCCTTGGCTCAAAGTCCAGCGTTCGGGTAAATTCCTGCATTTACTTCTTCTACCCATGACTAGAGCAGGTGACCCCACAGCTCCCTGGTGGTGCCCACACAGCGCGGGACGTTCAGGGCAGAGCTCCCCTTTACTGCGGCGCGCACGAACTGCAGCGTGGCTGAAGGACTGGGGGGGACAGTGGGCCGTCTGACGGGGGGGACGGTCGGTGCCTAACGGGGGGGACGGTCGGCCGTCTAACCTGAGCTGTGGTGAACCAGGAGCTCGCGCTCCCTGCGGCGCTCGCACCAGAAGCGCGCTGGCCCCAGAGCTCCGGCCGCACCAGCTGCCCCCACCAGCTCCCGACTGCGGAGCATCTCCCGCAGC